CCTGATGCACTGGCTTAGTGCATAAATTTATAATATCTTTAATTACTTATCAAAAAAAAAAGATAGAGAAGGAAGTGAAGACAGAACCTGCAACTGAATGCTGCATACTGCCCAAAGCAGGAACCTTTCTTCACCAACAATCTTGTACATTTTAATAGCTATCTGTAAATGGGTAAAAGAAATGAAACTATGCTTTGGTTGTAGAAAATCAAACTTGTACTTGAGAATAGATGCTGCCAAACCTGTTGTTGCTTCACAAAGGAGTATTCGCGGACGTAGCAGTTGAAGAGACCCATCATTAGATCCAGGTTACTCGGAAATTTGCCACAAGCATACTCGTAGCAACTTGTTGCCATATCCACTGTGAAGATACAAAACAAATTCCAAAACATTGAGTCAAAAAAGAATGAATGACCAGCTCGGTAGAAAACATCAAGATACTGACAGTGATCAAGTCGCTGGAAAACAATTTGTAGAGTGCTGAGAGTAAGATCGTCAATCAAGACAGAGTCATTAGTGTACAAAAGCTCTTTGGCATTTAAGCAAACAGAAAATGCTTCTTCCGCTTTACCCATCCTTTCCAAAACCAAAGCTTTAAGTGCCAGAGCATAAGGGGAATTGGGGTATTTGGAGAGGAGAGGGGTGCAGTGCTTGAGAGCATTTTTGAACTGGCGAGAATCAATGGCATCCCAAATGGGTCGAACTCTACGCTCCGGTATGCCACCAGCCAACCCAAACTTGGACGCCATTTTCCAGCCGTTTGAGAATTGGATTTACAGAGACTACTGGATTACAGAGTCAAAGCTTGTGGTAACTTATCAGCTTTGGGAGTCGGCTTAAAGTTATTTTGTGTGAGAGAAGAAAAAACCTAATTGATGCCTACAGCGTGAGTGCGGTCTGGTATATCCGTGCAACTTCAGGGTTGTCGGGGCTTAGATGTTGTTTGGATGATACTGTATTGTATTATATTATATTATTTTATATTATGATAGATTATATTATTTGTTATTATTAAATAACATATTATTGTTTGATTTAATTGTATGGTATTGTACTGTAATTGATAACTTTATTAAAATACATTCAATTGTTTAAATATTAAATTTTTCAAGAATTACGCATAAAAATAATTTAAGAAGATCTCTTTCTACTAATTTATCACCAAATATGTCTTTATTTATCACCAATTATGTCTTTAACTATCATTAGAAAAAAATTAAAAGACTAACATAAAGAAAGGAACGAGAATTGGTAGAACAAAAGAACAAAAAATTTGAGTTAAAGTAATTAGAATTGGAGTTAAAATCACATTAGGATAAAAAGCACTATTGTTGCTTAAGTCTCTTGGTGTTTGAATTGTCAACAGGTGAAGTACAAGCATCAGAAGCCGGGTGGGTTTATTTAGCGATTGAAAATACCAGAGTGGAAGTGGGAGCGCATCACTATGAATTTTGTTGTAGCCTTACCACAGACATTGAGGAAATATGATGCAGTATGTGTTTTTGTGGACTAGTTGACTAAGTATGCACACTTCATTCTGGTGATGATTTCCTATTCTTCAAGGCGGTCGGCTAAGATTTACATCTGTGAGATTATTTGCGTGCATGGCATGCCCATTTGCATCATTTCTGACCGAGGCACACATTTCACATCGTATTTTTGGAGAATCGTACAGCATGAGTTGCGCACATGGGTCTAGTTGAGTACCACATTTTATCCTCAGATGGACGGATAGTTTGAGTGCAGTATTCAGATATTGGAGGACATGTTGCGGGCCTGCTCTATAGAGTTTAGGGGTCAGTGGGACCAGTTTTTATCTTTAGCGGAATTCGCCTACAACAACATCTATCAATCGAGCATTCAGATGGCGTCGTACGAGACCATGTATGGGAGGCGATATCATTCGTCGATTGGTTGGTTTGCGCGCAGTGAGGCTAGACTGTTGGGCACTGTTTGATCTGTGATGCTTTACAGAAGGTTAAGTTGATTCAGGAGCGACTTCGTATAGCTCAGTCAAGGCAAAAGAGTTATGCGGATAGGAAGGTTCGAGATGTCGCCTACATGGCGGGTGAGAAGGTTCTTCTCCAAGTGTCGCCTATGAAGTGTAAACCTTAGCCCAATACCCTAATCTAACCCAAACCCAATAACCCAATTATTTTAACCCGCCCCAACCCCAAATTCAATCCTAACCGTTGATATCAAGAGATCAACGGTCGAGGACACACTTTCCTTTTTTTAATATACCAAACCCCCAAACCCTACCTCATTTTACACAAACCGCCGCCCTTGAATCCCTATCTTCTCTCTTGTCTCTCGGGCGCTCCCCTAACCCTAGCCACCGTCACCGGAAAACCCTCTGTTCCATGGGGTTTCCCTTTGACTTTAGGCCCCAGCCGGCCTCTTACTTTTTCTGGTTGTTCGATTTTGCTGTTATCTGAAGGAATCTCGAAGAGGTTCAACTCAGAGTCAACCTAAAATCTTCATTTCTTCGATGAACCTGCCTTGTGTTCATTGCTATGTTTGTGAGTATTATTATCTTTATGATTATGGTTTGAAACTCTGGTTCTTAACTGAATTTTTCTCACCTCGTTCCATTTTTCAAAACCCTAATCTCTTTCTACTTGAGTCTATTCAGATCCATGTAGATCTGAGATGATTTTAACTTTATCTGGTATTTTCTTCAAAAACCTTATGTTTCTTCCTTATTATTAACCGATTCTAATGTTTCTCTAAAACTAGGGCTTCATTTCTTTGCGTTTCTGCAAAACTTTTCTAAAGAAGTTTGAGTATTTAATTCCGTTATTCTTTGTCTGCTTGACTGCATATGTTCTGAACCTTAGGGTTTCTGCTTATTTCACTGATTATTTCAATATTTGCTCGTTATTTTCATCTCTGACAATTAGAAGAGATTGGCTGATTTTATTAGGATTCAAATTATATTTTTCTGCCGAGATTGATACTTTTCTGTGATTTTTTTTAACCTATTTTCCTTAGTTGTGACTCTTAATTGGTACTACTTGCCTTAATTAGTTTATTAACCAGATTTATGGGATTTGATTGCCTTAGCCGGCTCCTAGATGGTCTTTGATTGATTTCATTGCCTTGTTTAACCTCTAATCTGGGTTGTTAATTAATTTCCCCTATTTCAAGGGGTCTTTCCCAGATCCTGTTGAGTTATTTGATTTAGTTTAGCCCCAATTAACTGATTGATTTTATTTGTATACCTTATTTGTGAACCTTGAATTATTCTTTGTCTTATTTGTTTCACCCTGCTAAGTGCTATATAATTCCCCCATTCTGACTTCTTTCAAACACACTCAGAAAGATACAGAAACACACACAAACTCTTATTCACACACACTCTCCATTGTAGTTCTTTCTGTTACTTGTTTTGCTACACTGTCTAGCCGGCTGAAAGTCAAGGCTAGGTTATTGGATTCAACTTGCTTTCACCTTCTTGTTTGCTATCTCTTAACTAGTATGCCCCTATTTCTGTTACTATAATCTTTTCTAAGTGTTATGTATCTCAGTATACTTCTGCTTTGATACTTGCCTCTTACCCATCTCTTTCTCAACTACTATGCTTCATTTCCTATTCTATGACTTATATGATTAGTTTACCCTGAACCTCAATATGTGCATGTTTATTATATGTTTCTTGTTTATTTTAACCAGTATGTTTTAGTCTTGTTACCTCTTTGTCCCATGTGGCTGTGTGGTTAGTGTTTCAACATGCTTCTGTTCTGCCCTATGTTTCTCTTAACCAGCATGACTTAGGTTCTGTCATGTTCTATATGATAGCATGTTCCTGTTTGATCCATGACACTTATTTACCCAGTTCTCAACTAGCATGCCCCCATTCCTATCCTATTTTATGTGCTGATAGTCTGCCTTAGCATGTTCTTGATCAACTCATGGTTTCTGTGTACTTCTTTCAAGAATAATATGCTTTAGATTATCACTATCTTTTCTGTATGGCTGTCGGATTAGCCATTTGACTTAATCATGTTTCTATCTGTTAAATACATGTCTATATGATTATATTTGGTAATAGTTAATAGACTAAATCAGCTCCAGCAATGTGAAACCTTGTTTGTGACTTTGTTTTGTCTATGATTCTAGTGTTCCTGTTTTGTTTAACTACCGGTAACTAAGTCTAAATCAATCTGCTGAAACATGGTCCTGTTCTGTTTGCAACCTGTTTCTATTCACTTCTGAAAATAAACTGTCTTTTTTCGTAAAACTACCCCCACCCTTGTATACTGTTTTCCAACTCTTACTCTTAGTTAACTAGGGTCCTATCACCCCTAGTGTGAGCACTGCTTAGAGTCCATGAGACTCCTCTGAACTCTGATACATTGGGGATGGTTTTCCAATCCTTGGTGAATTTTGTTGAACATCTGATTCTGGTGTGAGCATTGCCCGGGGTCCTTGAGGCCCTTGCGAACTTTGACACACCAGAAACCAGTTTTATGTGTTATGGATAGGTTACCACTATGCTCAGAGATGCTATGTTTAAAGGCCTGGTTACCAGATTGGTATTGGGCCTATGAAGGCTCCCTATAGTATAATGGTTCTTTTATTATATAATTTATTTATATTAGTCTATTAGTAAAGTTGGGAGGGATTTTTATATATCTTTGTTGGGATCGGGTGGAAATCATGCCTATAGGATTGTTGTGATTATTTATATGCATTAGAAATCATGCTTATAGGTTGTTGTGACGATTGTTTACTTATATGCATTAGAAGCCATGCCTATAGAACTTATCTCATTCTTTAAAATCCTGAATTTCCATACTTTGCATCACTAGGAATCCTACTTCTAAGACGTTTCTCAATTCTGCCTCAATAATCATGTTTTCAAAACCTTCATGGGTGCAATAGAAACCATGTTTCTATGAATTTCCTTGTTGAACTCGCTTGGCAACTGATTAACGCTTTTACTTGCCTATAAATCATGCATATAGGAAACACATATAAAAATCAGTCTTGACACTTAGACATCGTGCATATAGGAAATAAGTGTAAAAACAGCTTCAACATTAGATATCATGTCTATAGAAAAAAGTGTATAAAATCAATTTTATGTGTCATAAAATAATGTTTGTGAATAGTTTTTAGCACTTAGAAAGCATGTCTCTAGGGTCTAAAAGATAAAATCCACATGTTAAGAATCAATCACTAGTTTATAAAATTATGGTATAATTAACGTTTAGATGTTATATCTATAGGATTCTGCCAGTTATCACTTAGGCAAGCCTGTAGGACAATTAAATATTGGGTTTGAAATTGTGATTTTCTTGCTGTTTGAAACGTGCTCAGATTTAGTACGTGATAAAAAATTAGTAGGCAAACTGATAAGTGTTCACTGCCTCGCCTTAATAAAACTGTTGCATATTCTATGCTCATTTAGATATCCTGCCTCTAGGACCTTAATCGTTTTAAAACTGCTTGTTTGAATAGCGTGCATCTGTTTGTCTATTTTTGGAGGTAAATATGAGTCTCTTAAGTGATCTTTTATGTGGCAGCCCTGCTTGTTTTTGTTTGGCGCTTAGTTTCTCCTTTTAAGCACCATAGGTGAGTCTAGAACCACCTTAAATAGAGGTCCTAAACACCTCTAGGGCCACAAGTAAGGGACATGTAGTGCACACACATGATACGTATTCGATGTTGTTAGAACGCTTAGGTAATAATTAAGGGGAGGGTAATCAGGCAGTAAAGGATATGATGACCTATGCGCTAATGCTATGTGTAGCATTCCAATTTGGAGACGATTACCAAGTATTGCACAGAAGTGATCCTATACGCTAAAAAACCTAGGACCCTTTTACTCCTAGTTCTTTAAAGTAATATCTGTTTGTTTATCTGCTTATAAGACTAATTCACTTAAATTGATTTTAGCCG